AGGTGTTTGCTCTTCACAGGGACTAAACCTATCCTGAGATTTTTCTTCAAATCTTCTCCAATTGTCCTAGAAGGACCCCTGTTCTGCTCCTACTCTTATCTATTTTTATTGCTCTATGTTCACTCTGAGGCACTATTTTATTTCTGTGGGGGAAAATCTTGAGAGCTTGGGAGTTTTCTGACCTACTCTGCCATCTTCCCAGAATCCTCCCCTTACTTTAATATAAAAATAATTTCCTGTTCTTTTTTAAACTCTTGCTTCTTCTCTTCCAGGAATTCTGATTGGACTTGTACCCAAGTTGTGTTTTTCTTTGAAGCTTTGTTTGTGTTTGTTTCAGAGTTATTCTCTTCCGGATTTGTGTCTTTAGTATCCTTGTTACTCTTTACTGTGGGATTATTTTTGTTTGTTTGATTATTTTACTACCTACTTCCTGACATCAGACTTTGTGCAGGACTGGGCTCTTTGCACTTCTGCAGAGTGTTTGAATTGGACTTTTGTTCTCTTGGGTCTTTCTGCTGCTTTTTGGGGTGGGGTGATATTGAAATATTAGGGGATGGTATTGTTATATTATTCCAAGATCTCAGAGGCAGCTCAGGCTGGGGACAGGCAAGTTTTCAATTCTTTTAAAGCGGTCTGATCAAGGCAAAGTCTAATCACTGCCCTAATGGTCTGAGCTCTACAGTGTCCTGATTTGGGTTTGGAATGGGCTTATCCTTCGTTGTAGACAGCTGCTGGATTCATCTGGTATTAGCCAGCTGGAAAGTTTTGCAGGTTCCCCTTTGCTCTGTGATTCATGCCCTGATTATTCTACTTTGATCCTTAGACTAGCTGGAGGCTGGAACTGAGACCCTGATTAGCTCCTGTAGTCAGAATCTCACAGCTCCTATTTGCTTTTAAACCAGTTCCTAGCTTAGTACACAGTCTAGGACCCATGACTGTTCACCAACCTGTAAAAACCTCTTCAGTCTGCCCTGGATCTATGACCAGGGAGTGGTCATAAATGACAGAGCTACCAGTTGGTACTAGTTTTTACATTCTGCACAAATGTGGTATCCCCTCATTTGAGTCTCAGACCTCTTCTTACCCTGGTGCACAGCCTTAGTCTCTTAAAGTTCCTACGCTCTAGAGTGCTTTGCCCCCATATACTCCTGTTCAGATCTCATTCCCACTGTCCACAAACCTATCTGTATTCTTAGGCTGACTTGGGCTGGAAATATGATTCATTATGATTTTTTCCCTTAGATTTCCCAGTCTACAGTATATTTTCTAGATCTTTGTGGAGGAATTGTGTTGGGGAGCTAATCTGCATTCTTTTCCTGCTACTCCATCATCTTGGCTCTACCTTGAAATACTCTTTGCAGAGGAAATTGTAGTATTGATTGGATTAAAGTTCTGAGAGCAAAAGGTGAATGTGGTGTGGGGGATATGGCATGCATGAAATAACTAGGCAAAGAAAATGGGGTGAAGAAACATTGTGCTAAGGTCAGAGCTGAAAGCACTGGAGTCAGGGAGTCAGAGGACTTCAGTTCCAATCCCACATCTGACACTGGATACTTGTGTATCCTTGGGCAAATCCCTTCACATCCCTGTGATTGAGTTGACTGGACTAGATCATAGCCTCTGAGTTTTCTTCTAATTCTACATTTATGATCCTTCTAAGTATGGCCTCTGGAGGTCTGATTTGTCGGGTCTAAAAAACACAGAGGTGGGAAGGTACAGGGTATATCAAGGAGTCAATCCAGCTGAAGTGAATAATGCATATAGAAAAATAGTTGGGAATAAAGGAGAAAAAGTAGATTTGAGTACTGACTTTGGAAGGGCTTGATTATTATGTTAAGGTTAGAATATCATATCTGGGAAGGGATCTTGGAAATTCTTTAGATCAGGTGTTTCCAACTTCATTATGATGAGTTACTTTTGATTTAAACAATACCATATGACTTTTGGTAGGGGAAGGGTGTGAATATACTGATAATGGAAGATGACGACATGGCAGCTAAAAAGGGAAATAACTGATGGGGCATTAAGGTATAAAAACAGTAACTTGATTGGAGATCACCCAGATAAAGCTTTTAAGCCATCAGGCTGAAGTTGATATGAGAGAAACTCTATTTGGAATGGGGAACCACTGGAGATTTTTTTTTTAGAAGACCAAGTTAGAAAGCTATTTCAGTGGTTCAGATATAAGGCAGTAAGAACTTAATGAGAATAGTAAAAAATGGTGGCAGAAAAAGATTTGGGATAAGCATAAAGAAGGTGGGGCAGTTCAAGTGTGGTCAGGCTGCTCTCAGTGCTACTAGCTACAAGTCCTTAGAACTGGCTGGCGCTAAGTGGAAGAGTTAGCACCATGAAAAACTGACTATTGAAGGTCACTCTAAAGCAGGCGTTCTCAAACTTTTTAATGTCATGGACTCCTCTACAACTTTGGTGAAGACTACAGACTCCTCAGAATATTTTTAAATGAATTAAAATACATGGGATTACAAAGGAAGTCAATTATGCTGAAATAGTCAATTTTTTTTTATTATTATTATTATAAAGGCTCACAGACCCTAGGTTAAAAATTCTTAGCTAAAGCTGGATTCCTCATTCTTCTTCACAGGCTGTATTGATCAATCTACTCTATTTCTTTATTTACTTTATGACCAAGAACAAACATTTCTAAGAGTGTTTAGCTAGTACTTAAGGAGCTATGAGAAGGGGTTTCAGTTTGTAGCTCTAGAGAATTTTTATCTCCAAGGATGCTATGTGGCTCCTGTGGGTGTTGACTTTGGCTTCATTAGCACTGACTCTTAAACAATGAATAAAGAGATCAGATATAAATAACATTTCATTTCAGAGGGCCTTCCATAGACTTAACTCTGGGTTAGGTAGGAAATTTGATTTCACCAAGTCCCGTCGGACATGTGATCACATCTTTTAGGTCACTACTTGTCAGAATTTTCTAGTGGCTCTTAATCATCCATTTTCACCATGTCCTTTTCTGTAATATAGCTGCCTGTCATTTATTTTGGCTACTGGATCCCTGAGTAACAAGAAAGAAAAGAAGAGAGACAAATAAAGAATTAGCTAGTCAGCTACCTTCAGGGTAAAAAAAAAATTACGTGGCCAATGTAATCACATGGAATTAATGATTTTAAAAAATTAGAGTAATACAATCTTAGGATTTTTGAGGCATGATGGACCTTAAAGATCATCTGATCCTGGTCTCTTCCAATTGCAAAATCCTACTACTTATTTAACTCATTTCTGAAAGGTTAGGGCCCCACCTTTGAGACTTCTAGTTTCCACTGGCATGTAAATGTTTGTTGAGTGATTGATAGTCACAGATCTAGAGCTGGTAGTGACCTCTGAGGCTATCTAGCCCAACTTGATCATTTTACAGTTGAGGAATCTGATGCCCAGGGAGGTGAAGTTACTTGACTAAAGTCACACAGGCAGTAAATATCAGATGTGGTATTGGAACCCAGAACCTATAATCGGGAACTTAACTGGATAGATAGCCAGAATATAGACATATAGAAGAGAAGCAGATGTGGGTAGAAATAGTATGAGCAAGAGAACTCAGGGCAAAAGAACTGAGTAACTAATGTTCAAAATGCCCAATTACCTAGAGAATAATGTCCAAACTCCTTAGCCTTAAATTAACAGTGCTGTACAATCTGGCTCCAACATTATATACTCAAGCCTTATATCATATTACTCCTTTTCAATGTATTGTATAGTCCAACCAGAGTAGACAAAAATCTCAAAACACTTTCTCAGCTCTATTCCTTTACTCTCAATCCATTTCCCCTTATCTCCAACAGCTGAAATCCTGCCATCTTTCAAAGTTCTGGCTGCAATGTCATCTCCTCCATGTTACCTTCCTCAATCTCCCAACCTAAAGAAGTCTGTTGAGACTAACCTTTCCCTTTTGTAAAAATCTTTTCCTCTTTTGAATACACAGCTCTTATAATTTCATAGTCATAGTCAATGAACAATCATTAAATGTCTACTCCGTGCCAAAAATCGTGGGTTTGGGCAAATCACTGCATGTCTGTGGCCCTTAGTTTTCTCATCTATAATGAAATTACTGAATTAGACAATTTCTAAGGTCTCTTCCAGCCTTAGATCCTGTGCTGTTGTATTAGCTATTTTTCTAAGTCTTATCTCTCCCCTGGAATGCACATTTTTGGAGCATTTATACTCTTGAAGTAGTATGTACAATGAAAAAAAAAAGACTAGATTTGGGTGTCAGAAAAGCTAGGTTTCAGCCCTGGTTCTACCAATTACTAAATCCTACTATTTCCCCTTCTCTGACCCTTAGTTTCATCATCTGTAAAATGGACATAGCTACACTACTGCCTATTTGACCAAACTGTTGCAGGAAAAAGTGCTTTATAAAACAAAAGCTTCTATATAGATAGGTGAGCTATTATTATTAGCTACTTCATATTAACCAATGATGACAATTCTTAAAGAACTCTCTAAATCTGAATAATTACTATGAGAATAGGACCTTGGCTGGATGTCCCCAGCACACAAAGGTTATTCAGAAAAAATTTTTTCCTGCATTGAGCGTACTTATCATTATATTTATAATTATGAGGGATTTCTAAGGGTCATCTAATCCAGGCCGTTTAAAGTCTTTTACAAGCTGGCTCCAATCTACCTTTCCAATTCAGCCTTGCTTACACATTAACTCTCTTTCATACATAACCACAATCAGGCCAAACACGCGGGAACCACAATAACACATCCATACACTCTGTACTAGGGCAACTGGATGGCATAGTGGCTCAGCCTGGAGTCAGGAAGACTGATCTTCTCAAGTTCAAATCTGGCCTCAGACACATTTTAGCTATGTGACCTTGGGGGAGTCACTTCACCTGGTTTGCCTCAGTTTCCTCATCTTTGAAATGAACTGGAGAAAGAAATGGCAAACCACTCTAATGTCTTTGCCAAGAATACTCCAAAATGGGGTTACAAAGAGTAGAACTCTCCTTGCTTTTGCTTTCTCCTCACTTGCACCTTTCCCAGCAAAATTACCTAATATTTATTTTATATGTGTAAGCCTGCCCCTCCTGCCATGTAAACCACCTGAGAGCAGTCACATGTTCCCCTTTTGTTTGTATGCTTAAAGAACAGCCCAGTGCTTGGCATACAGCAGTCATTTTCTGTTTGCCGACTCAATCACTATGAGTCAGGCACTGTGCTAAGTCCTGGACATAGTTTTACAGAAGTCAAAAGCAGGGCCTGCCCTCAAGGAACTTACATTCTAAAGGGAATATATACCCGGAGTAGTTGGAGGGAAGGCAGAGGGGTGGGGCACTTTGAAAGGCCTCCCACAGAGAGTGGGGGATGAGCTGAGCCTGGAAAGAAGCGGGCGATTTCCTCATTTTTACAGATAAGGAAACTGAGGACCAGCAAGGTTAAGGGGACTGCCCAAGGTCGCCCTGGGGGTCGAAGGGAGTCTCTAAGCTAGGTCAGCCGGGGGTGTGAGTGGGCCCAAGAACAGGGTGGGTGGCTTGGGGCCAACAGGGCTCGGGCGGGGCCTGGGGAAAGGGCTCCGCGCCCAAGCGGGGAGAGGCCGAGGCCGGGGCTGCCACGGGACCCAAAGTGCTAGCACCGGCCCTTCGGGGACTCATTGATGAGCCGGACCGGAAGTCGGCGTCCGCTGCGGCAGTGCCTAAGAGAGGGTGAGTGGACGTGTGGGACTCGCGGGACTGGAGGAAGCTTTGTCTCCTTCCCGGCTTCCCAGGCCCCTCAGCTTGTCCGCGGCCCACCTCGGCCTCGGGGCCCTGTCGATCTAAGCGCTTCGGACCGCCGCTAGGTGGCGCCGAAGCTCGATGGCCGCACCCGGGTCTGCTTTTGGCCTCGTAGGGCCACCGTCACTTCGCCTCCGTGCTCGGCCGTCCGTCCCGCCGCGTCGGGGCCTCCCGGCTGCTCCTTCGCAGCGTCGTCCGCCTGTTCCCCGAGCCTCAGACTCCCGGCCCGAGGTGGCGATGTGCCGCTGAACCGGGTCAGGAGAAGGTAGGCCGGCAGGTCTCTCGTGGCGGGCGCCGGAGCCTGGGCTGAGCGGACCGGGCGGGGAGGGAGACGGAGGCGCCGGGGAGACCGTGACGGAGCCCCCCCCGGCCCCTCGGCGGCCTCCGCTCGGCGGGCCGAAGTCCCAGCTCCGGGTCCGCACGCGAGCCCGCGGCCCCAGCCTGCGGCGCAGCTTCCTATTGTGCAGACCCGCGGATGAGGCCGGGCGGCCCCTGTAGGGAGCCCTCTCGGTTCCCAGGTTCCTGCTTGCGGACCTCGGGGTGGAATCCCGCTGACCGGATGCTCGCGTCTACCCCTGGATGACGAGGAGCGGCGGTGCAGCGGGAAAGGGCGCCGGCCTCGGGTCCGCAGCCCTGACCGGCCGGGGTTCCTGCAGGGTGCATGCAGCCCATGCATCCCCGCGCCGAGCCGCGGGACCCGGGGCCAGCCGCTTCACCCCTCTGAGCCTCAGTTTCCTCCTCTGCAGAAGTGGGAAGACGGGAGGTCCTGCATAAACCTGCACCGCCCAAGCAGCAGGCTCGTGCAGGTTCAAGAAGAGTGAGGTGTTACTAGAATAGTCTTCAGCCCGTATCAGAAGTGGCGCCTTTAGAGGGGCTGCACGCTTTTCTGCTCCATGCCCCTGATACAGAGCCCCGAGGCGGGCTTGACTCAAGCCTCCTCTCCCGGGCCGTACTCCCCCGGCTGCTGGGCTTCAGGAGCTTCTGTGGTCAGAGTAATTCATCCCAGGGTGTAAAAATCCGCCGGTGATGAGACTTCCAAACAGGAGGACAGTTCTTTGGGGATGAGCCTCTTCCAGGCAGGTGACCAGCCCCCTGATGATGCTCTTTCAGATAGCCCGAGTGGGTGGTCCTCAGCTGGGGACCCGCACTCTAAGCCTTTAAGTGTGCCAGCCACTGGCATCACTTTGGAGGACTCAAGTCCCATGCCCCGGGATGCAGATCAGGAGAACTTTAGTGGAGGCCTTCTCCATCATAGGTGTTTAGTAAGCCTTGGTTTAATTAAGTTATGTCTTGGTTTGTCTTGTTTCCCTGATGGATTGGTAGGGAATCTGTATTAGGTCACTTTAATAATACAACAGTTGCTGGATCAGAATAAAAATCTTACAGTTTAGTGAGATAAGAGAAGGTAGAATGAGGTATATAACCTTTTAACAAAATGCCCAAGAGGTGACAGAGAAGGTCACACAAGCCTGTGGTCCTTCCTTTAAGTCCCGGGACATTCAACTTCAGAGCCATAGCATACCTTAGTGGATTATTTTGCCCAGCACCTTCATTTTTGTAGATGAAGAAACTGAATTGTTGAGAGATTAAATCCGTTGCTCAAAGTTGTGTGATGGGATATGCAGCCGGAACTAGAACCTAAGATTTCTGACTGGCAGGGTTGTGCTGTTTACATATCACCCTGTTGCTGGTTTACATTCAGGACTTGAGCACTGTTGTTTCAAGTGTGCTAAAGAAAGCCTTAAAGACTGGACGTTTGGGCTCCCAAAATGCTGTTAGTTGGGTTTTAGTAAGCAATTTTAAAGCAGGGGAGAAAAGCCATTTTTATTAGAAATAAAAGGTTTAAAAATGCACTCTGGGCCTTACCATTAGAAGTAGAGTGCTTACCAATAATAGCACTGAACACGTAAGTAAGGATAAATACCTGCTGTAATTTGGGAGGGGAATAAACCATTCCTTGTTTTTGTCTCCTCACAGGACCACAATGAGTGACATTCGCCATTCCTTGATCCGCCGAGATGCGTTAAGTGCTGCTAAGGAAGTGTTATATCATTTGGACATTTATTTTAGCAGTCAGCTCCAAAATGCACCTCTTCCTATTGTGGACAAAGGTCCCATTGAACTGTTGGAAGAATTCGTATTTCAGGTTCCCAAGGAGCGCAATTCCCAACCTAAGGTATGTAATTAGGATTCAAAAGAAGGATAAATGGAGATCACTTGTGTAGTCATATTAAAACCCTGACTTTTGTAAATGTTGGCATAATTTAGTGCATCTTTAAATTACACATAATTTTTTTGTTCTCTAGGCCTCTGTCCTTATGCCATGTAATATATATATATCATATTTTTGTCCATTTGCAGCTTAAATGCTGTTTTAATGAATCTAATATTATAAAAGGCAACTGATGCAACAATGCATTCCTAGCAAAAAATTGTAAAAAATAGGCCTAAAAATGAAAATTCCTTTCTTTTTTTTTTTTTGGAAAGGAAAATTCTTTTCCTCTTGAAAGTCATGGTCCTTTGAAGGATTTGATTATTGACTAGTAGTCTAGTATAATATTACTAACATTTGCTAATCAGTCAATAAACATTTATTAAGCACCTAATAAGTACCAGGCACTGTGTTAAGCACTGGGGATACAAAAAAGTCAAAAGACAGTCCCTGTCTAGTGGGGGGCTTACTATATGCAGTAGCTCATGGCTGTTTGATTTCCCCTTGAATTTCTGGAGATAATTGACTACCAATCACCTTGCTTTAAAAAATAGCAGAGACAAAGAGTAGTCTTAGTTTTATGTGCACGTACACACACACACACACACACACACACACACACACATGCAATATTAGCTATATATATATATATATATATGTTATATATATATGCAGTCCATCAGTCAGCCAGTAACCATTTATTAAGCACCTGTTGCATGTGCCAGACATTATGCCACGTGTTTGGGAATGTAAAGACAAAAGGAAGAGTCTCTCTCCCCAAGGAGCTTACATTTAAATTGGGAGGGCGACACGCATATTTGTAAATATATATAGAATATCTACAGAAGAAAGACAAGGGCTGTTTGATATCTATACTTAATTTTGTATTAAAGGGATAGACTACACCTCAGCCCAACTGTAGACCACAAACACTGACCTTGATTTTCAAGGCCTATAGCATTGGAGTCTTTGAGAATAATCAGAAATCAAACAGTAACCAGTAGTTGTAAGTGGGATTTTATAAGGAAGGGTAGAAGTGTCTGATAACAAAATGCTAATTTCTTGATGTGCTAATTAACTAATGTAGAAATAGCAAATTTTATTAGTTTTCCTCATTTTATTTCACAGAGGCTGAATTCACTTCAGGAGCTTCAACTTCTTGAAATCATGTGCAATTATTTCCAGGAGCAAGCCAAGGATTCTGTGCGTCAGATTATTTTCTCATCCCTTTTCAGTCCTCAAGGGAACAAAGCAGATGATAGCCGGATGGTCTTACTGGGAAAGTTGGTCTCAATGGCAGTGGCTGTGTGTCGGATTCCTGTGTTAGAATGTGCTGCATCCTGGCTACAGGTAAAATTTCTTTTTTAAAAAAAAAAAGCATGCTTCAAATGATAACTGTAAGGAAACTTCTTACTAGGTCACAGGGGATTTAATGAGTTTTGTTTTCTTTGCTACCATTTATATTAACTACTACATTTGAATCATGAATACCCTGATTTCATTTGTGTGGACATTCCCTGTATTGATACAGGTGGCATTCCCTTCAGCTAGCCCTTTGGTAGCATCTATGACCAAAGAAAATACCACCACCTGGTGGCTAAACTTCTGGTAATAAGCTTATCCAAACACTGCTCAAACGGTCCTCTGAGGACAGACACATAAGGAATTTCCCAGTTCCTGGAAAGCCAGATTCGAAGTTTTCTAGTTTATTAGGCCCTTCCAGAGTTTATGATCCCTTGGCAAAGGATTCAATAACCTTGGATCTCTTCTATACTATAAGTAAGACATCAGTGGAGAATTAATTCTGGTAGTCTTAGAGATCACTAATAGTATTAATTATGTACTATATTTTTATATAACATATTAATCATTGTAGAGTCTGGTAGTCTTAAGGAGTTGCCTGGGACACTGCAAGGATAAGTGATTAAAGGGAATTTCCTCCTTGGGAAGACCCTTTAATGATGAAATCATAGGTGTGGACCAGAAAAAAGTCTGACAGAGTTAAATAGACATTACCTATTTTCTGTTACATAGTGTGGTTTTGCATGATAATGGAAAATTAAAAATAGCTAAATTTTAAAAGTAGGGATTATTTTTCTCTTCAATTGGATATGATAGAGAATTTTGAAAATACCTTGCAACTCTCTGGGTAGAATTTTTTAAGTACACAAATATGTTATATTAAATTTTAGCAATTTTTGAACAGATTTTAGTACCTTTATACTTTACCCCCCAAAAAAGCTGCACTAGTAAGCATGGGAAGTGTTATTTTACATTGAATCACCTTCCCCAGCACTGATAATATAACTGTTGTATTGTCTGTCATATGTGAAATCCTTTCAGAGTATTTATAAGTAATTAAAGAAAAAATAAAGAATGTTCAGATACATTTAAAAAAATTCTAATTTCTTAAAAATTAGTAACCCCTATATATGATCATTCTGTAAAACCAAAACAGTTGGCTAATCAGACTATCTCATTAAATTTTATAAGGTAAGAAGAAAGTTCCTAGTTTGGATTAAATAGGATGGTGAGAGAAAGACAGGGCTTGTTAGTGTGAATTGGAATGTCTTTCAAGCGTATATGGTAATTCAAGTAGGCTGTAAACAAACTAATACATAGCAAATGTCTTTAATATCCTACTTTATTCTGAAGTTCTGAAAAATAGTTTGGTCTATTAAGCATGTCTTTTGCAATCTCTTTTACATTTTTAGTATGGTTGGTAAATTTGATGTATGGCATGCTACAAATGAATTGAGGTAGGAGATAACCATTTGGAAAATATATGATTGGAAGAGGTGTTGGGCTAATGACATTGAGCATGAGAGAAAAGGATGTTGGCCTAGTACCCATAAAATATATATATTTTTAAAAAAAGAATGTCTCCAGTGGGCTGGGTAGATTATTCAGGAACATGGACACAAACTGTACAAGAAAAGAAAATATAGACGAGTTTCGATCTGCACCAATGGAAAGAATACTTGCATCAGTAAGATCATGTATCTATTGAAGGATCTAAGTATTGAAATATTGTTAAACTTAGAAAGTTTTTTTTGTTGTTTCTGTTCTTACAACTCAGTGAGATAAAAATTCAGCATCATATTGACAAGAAGTCTTATGCTTGTCAATTTATCTTTGTATACATGTGTGATCACTCACTGAGACTTAAAGCATTTTGGGACTGTGTCTTTGACCCTGAGGTTCAGGAGATAGTCAGGAAAGTAATTCCAAATGACTAATTTAAACCAGTATTACTCAAGATGAGGTTCAAACTAAGCTTCAGTTGTAAATGACTGTTTGGTGTTGCCAGGAGCATACTGTAGAGCACACTGTAATACATATGAATTAGTGCCTTCTGTCCTCCCTCCTTTAAAGTCTACTGCAATGCCAGATGGGAGGCTGAAGTTAGATGGTTCTGACTTGCTATTTAGTATTAGTATCAGTTTATAGAGGATTAAATTGGAGTTTGGGGGGTTTTTTTGTTTGGTTGTTTGATTTTTTTCTTTTTAGCTTAGAAATGTAAGGCATAGGGATATTACAGAAACCTTCCAGATTTCCAGGGGGATGACAGATTGAAAAAGTTTGAGAACCAGTGGTTAAAAGTTTAAAAATCTGATATTCCTTAAACTCCTGTAAAATTCCATTTCTTGTTTGACACATCACTGTATTGTGGTGGGCAACTCTAGGTTAATTCCTATCAGGTGTTTCTCACCTAGGTTCCTGGCAAAGCTTCAAAATAATGAAGATTTATATTCTCATATTAAGTCAAGTTAGACAACCAGTAAAGATTGGAAATGCTTTTTGCCCAAGAGCTAACACACCTATGTTTATCAAGGACTCATCACCAAATTGGCTTTAGGATAGTGAATTTTTCTGCTACAGCAGCTCTCAAAGGCTATCTACTAAACTGCAGTAGGTTTATGATCTGTTGGTAGAGAAAATACTCACATCCTACCTAAAAATCATAGCTCTTTGAGGTATTGAAATACCTCTATGACCTTTCCTTATTTAAATTTTATATCATTCCCTGCCAACCCATCTCTATTTCTAAGGAATCCTTGAAAAGAACTATGTCAAGAATGCTTCAATCCTTTCTTTCTTACTGTATGGGGGAAGCACTGTGAAAAACTAATTATGTGTTGTTGCAAAGTGCTTGTGATGTGTCTTATAAATTTTTTTCAGCGCACACCTGCGGGCTACTGTGTGAGGTTAGCAAAGGCCTTAGTTGATGACTACTGTAGTTTGGTGCCAGGATCCATTCAGACATTGAAACAGATATTCAGTGCCAGCCCTCGCTTCTGCTGCCAGTTTATTACAGCTGTGACTGCACTCTATGACCTTTCCTCAGGTAACTCATTAAGTATAAAATTATTTTCCTAAGAAGGTTTCAGTTTTCTCTTTTTAATTATAAACTTTCTGGGAAAAAATGAACAGTAACTACTTATATCTTCCAAGTTCTCTTTTCTTTGATAATGCCCAAGTATGCATCTATGTTTAGTACTCACACAATATTTTGCCTTCTCTCTTTTTCATTTTGTCTTGTTTTGTTTACATACATTGTCTGGTATTGAATAGAATTCACATACTTGTGTGGTGACTTGGGTGGGTAGAATTTTCTCTCATCTTTCAGGTGCCATCTCCAATATATGCATATGTGTCTTTTAGGTAATAAACTGAAGGTAGATAATTCAAATTGGACTTAGTTGGTAAGAGTGGGCCCTAAATCCCATTTCTGATGGAACTTGATCCTTGTCTTCATTTGACCCTTTTCTAGCAGATTCAAAATGTACAATGTAATGGGATGACTTGAAAAGGTATTCATTGTATTTTAAATTATATAAATTGTATTTTGAATTCTTTTTAAACCTGACCGGCCTTAGGAAAAGGGAAGAAGCATGGCTATGCCTGTGTTGAGAATATGGTTTTCTGTCTGGTGTCTTCTTTCCTTAGAGATGAGAATTTCATAATAAGATGTAGTGGAGGCCCTTAAAAATCCATTTGTATAGCGTTTGGTTGAAGCTTGGAAAAAGAAACATTCCATTGGGAAAGTACCATCTGTCTGTCCTCATGTTTAAATGACAACTTGTGACTACAGACATCACAGTGACTAACAAATAGCATCTTAGTCAGTCCTAACCTTAAAAGTAATTCATTGAAACCACAAAAATGTGACTGTTTATTCTGCAGGAATGAATATTAGCAAGATATAGTAGCTTTATCCTATCACCTGATTTCATTTTAGACATATTTTTGTTTCATCCAGCTTTTTCTTTTGCTGTTTTATTAACCACTTTAATTTTCTCTAATAAGTTTTTGTAAAAAAAATTGAATAAACAAATAAATGCTATCTTTGCATAATCTGCTTTTATCACAACTACTTTGCATCTAAAACAGGTTAGACATAATAACTAAACCCTCCCTTCCCCAGCCTTCCACTTGATTAGTGAATAGGTGTCAACAATTGGTTGTTTCATTTACTTTTAGCAAGCAGTTTTAATTAAACACACAGTTCATAATTTTTGCTTTATCCTTATTAAATCTTCGGAGACTTAGAACTACTACTGCCACAGTTATAACTCATAAGGAAGAAACTTTGAGGCACAAAATAATCTTCATTTTTACCTTAAAATTGGGGTGTGTTGTATATCATAAGTGATAAACACAGTACATCATTTTTTCTTAAGTTACTTTGTCAGTCTTGTGTCACCCTTTCATTTTTACTGTGTAGTATGCAACTTAGCTTAAAGATTGCTTTCAAATCAGTGATTACTATTTCTTTGGATTTTGCTGTCAGACAATTAAAGATACTTTTAATAGAAATATTTGGCTGCCTTGTAGAAGGATATTGACCAGAGTTTTATGACAAACATATACAGGATAAAAATGTTTAATGTCACTGAGATAGGTCAACAGACCTAGAGTTTTACAGATTTATATACCTATACCTATGTGGGTGTACAAATCCACAAATACTTTTGTGCTGTTAACTATACAGGTGTGAGGATACCTGTAGGTGTGCATACCCAATAACTCGGACAGTTGAGCATCTTCTAATGGTATTATGTGGTCTCTTAATTTCCAGTGGTTCAGGGTTCAGAGTAGCATCTGTCCTCTGATACGAACACTTATAGACATTACATTGCTGCGTGAATGATTCAGGCAAGTGTGGAGGATCTGCTGTGGTCACGAGTCAGGTCAGAATAGATCTTAGGGATCAAGCCTTGGTGTTTGCTTCTTGCTTAGCCTTTACAGTTTGTGGCATGTGGCCTTTTATTTTGACACTGAGCACCCTGGGTGCCACAGATGTTACAATACGCTTAGATATACTCAGAATGAAAACGTAATTGTGCTTATGCCCACTTTCTTGAATCTGTGTGGGGCATTGTGCTTTGGAAGTCCATTAGGACTTCCTTAAGAGTTAGGCATGGAGTTGTAATAAAGCTAGCTCTTAAATCAAGTTTACCCTGAGCCATAATCAAGGTTGGATTTAACCTCCTACTGCCATGTCACCTCTTATGTCTTAATGGGCCTTTTTTCTTTTTCAGATGATCTGATTCCACCTTTGGACTTGCTTGAGGTAATTGTCAATTGGATCTTTGAGGATCCCCGTTTGATTCTCATTACCTTTCTAAACACCCCAATTGCAGCCAATCTCCCAATTGGATTTTTAGAGCTAACCCCACTCACAGGACTGATTCGCTGGTGTGTGAAGGCACCTCTTGCTTACAAGAGAAAAAAGAAGACCACGTTACCAAATGGCCATATGAACAATAAAATTGCCAAGGAATCCGTAGCAGGAATTGACAGGGACTTTCACCTTTTATACTCAAAACTGCATCTGAGTGTTCTGCAGGTTCTAATGATGCTTCAGGTGCATTTAACAGAGAAGAATTTATATGGACGGCTGGGGCTGGTCCTGTTTGACCACATGGTTCCTCTGGTTGAAGAGATTAATAGATTATCTGATGAACTAAATCCACTCAATGCCTCCAAAGAAATTGAGCTATCTCTTGACCGCCTGGCTCAGGCTCTGCAGGTGGCCATGGCATCTGGAGCCTTGCTGTGCACCAGAGGTAGGTGATTTCAGCTGGTCAACTGTTTGGTCGGAGCTATGTTACTTATTATGGCAGCAGATGGTTGGGTTTGAGACACGTCCTTAATTGAGGTAAAATTTTTTTAATTGAAAGAAGGAAATTATGACGTCGGGTTTAAAAATCTAGGTACATGTGCCAGAGATGGCAAGGATAAAAATGGTTGTTACCATTCTACTCCTTGCCATCTTCTTGATGTAAGTCACACACGCGAGCAGCTGGTACTCTTGGCGTCCTCCTCAGGAGACTCATCAGCAGGGAGATCCTGTCACCTGGAAGGAAAGGGTTTGGAACCTCGACACACCACACCACTTGTATTAATGATAGCTGACGCTGATATTGTACTTGAAGGTTTGCAGGGTGCTCTACATCTGTTATCTCATTTGTTCCTTACCATAGCTCTTTCAGGTTGGTGCCATTATTATCCCCATCTTACAGATGAGGAAACTGAGACTTAGAGAGGTTACCCAGGTCACATATCTAAATGAGGGCCTGAGGCAGAATTTGAACTTGTGTGAACTTGGAGAATTTTTCTAGAGCCCTGAACATGGAAGGGAAACTGCTTGAGTTTCACTCTGAGCTATACATTAATCTTCCCACTAACATTAATTATATTTTGGGGAAAGAGCAGCTTGAAAAAAGAGAACAGTGAAGGGTGATTTTTTTGGCTGTTCTCCAGTTGACGGCTATCTGCTTTGTTTCCTATTCTTTGCTACTTCAAAGAGTGATGCTTTTATTCTTTTTGGTATATACTGGATAGACCTTTCTGTCTTTGGCTTTCTTGGGATGTATCCCTACCATTTATTCTTGTCTCCATGCCTTTTTAAAAGCGGTTCCCTTTGCCTAGAATGAACTCTTCATCTCCACCTCTTAGATTCTAGATTCTCTAGATTCCCTCACAGTTCAGCTCAGGTGCCACCTTCTACATGAGACTTTTCCTGATCCCCTTGGCTATTATTACTTTCCCCTTGAAATTACTTTATGTATTTTTAGATCAACATACAGTATGTGTATGTGTTGTGTCCGCTCAATAGACTGTGCCCTTCACGAGGATATGAACTATTTCATTTTTGTATTTGAATATTCAGTGCCTAGCATAATGCCAGGTATTTAATAAATGCTTGATTGGTAGTGGAACTGCCAGGCCAAAAGGTAGTCATTTTTCTTGCATTATGCCAAACTGAAATCCAGAGATGTTAGGATAACATCTCAGTTCCATTAGCAGTGCATCAGTGTGCCTATCTTTACACAGCCCCTTCAGCATTGATTGTGTTCCCCTGTCTTTTTATCCTGGCCAGTTTGCATGGTCTTAATTGAAACAGTTGTTTTAATTTGCATTCATTTTACTGTTACTGAGTTGGAGCATGCTTTAATGTGGTTATTTATAGTGGGCAAACCTTTTGAAAACTATGTCCTTTGCCCACTTAAATCCTTACATGTAAAATAAAGTCAGTGATTAAATCAATATTTTTAAATGCTGTACATGTATATTAAGAGATTTTATCATATTCAAAACATCATGCTTAAATCTATCAGGCAACTTTAATCTTATTAAGGGAAAATGAGGAATGCTTTGGTCTAACCTTCAAGAAGGTTATTTCTCATCACTTCGGTTTAGCATCTGTATGATTTTTAGGTAGTTTGGGGCTGCAGTTTCATCAAATGATGCTGCATTCTACTTTGCCTTTTTGTCACATATTGACAATGCAAATTCATGCCTTGCCTAATATATAGGCTCTGATTTACATAGGGCTTAATCAAGCATTTATTCTTTATATTACTATGTGCCAGGCACTAGGGGTACATGTATAAATATATACAAGATAAAAACAAGGGGGCAGCGTTTGAGGGGGTCAGAAAAGACTTCATGTTGAAACTGGTACTTGAATTGAGTTTTGAAGGGAATAGAGTATTTTAAGAGGCAAAAATAAAAAGGAAATGTCCTCTAGGCATGGGTGACTGTACAAAGACTCAAAGATAGTATTTTCTATATGATGAAAGAGTCAAATTTATAAAAATAAGAGTTATTCCTCAATTGATAAATGATAAAAAGATATGAACAGTTTTCAGATGAATAATCAAAGCTATCTATAGCCATATTAAAAATGCTGTAAATCACTATTGATTGGAGAAATGCAAATTAAAATAATTCTGAAGTACTACCTCATATCTATTAGATTGACTAATAGGATAGAAAATGAAAATAACAAATGTTGGAGGGGATGTGGGGGAAAATGTGACATTAATGCACTGTTAGTGCATAATAAACAATTGTGTGGAGAGGAGTAATCTATATATAATAAGACTGGAAAAGTGGCTTGGAGCTGGTTGTGAAGGACTTTCAGCCCCGCACTGGTTTGTATTTGACCCTACAGGGAGCTGCTGGAATTTATTCAGTCAGCCAGTCTGCAAACATTTATTAGTTTATTGAGTAGAGGAGCAGCATGGTCAAAAAATCACTTTGGCAGGTATCTGGAGAATGGATTGGAAAGGGAAGAAACTTGAGGCAAGGAGGCTGTTGTAATACTTTTACTCTTTTGAGCAAATAACCTCTTTGCTTATGTCTAATGTCCATAATGTGGTGGTTTTATGACTACATAAATCCTGCTGGACTGAGTTACTGTTTTCAAAAAATGGGTAATGTCTTCTAATGTTATAGCCATCCATATCTTTGTAACCTTTAGTGTAAAGTTACCCTAGCTTACACAGTTAATGTGAATATCACAAAGTCCTATTGTGGCTTTCTGATTTCTTCTGAGTATGATTCAAGTTTTAGCTTTTAGTCTTCTGTACCCTGTGAAGTATATGTTTAGGATTTAGGTTACATTACAGTTTTAATCTTTCCCCTTATACTTTCCTGTTAATTAAGATGAACTGATTGGTTCTTGCCAAAAGCTCCCAGGGTTGTGCTTTGAAAAGTCAAAGGCAAGTTGCCCAACCCACAGCAGTGGATCTCTTGTCTGCCATAGTCTTAATAGAGTTTCAGATTATTAACTTTTAGGGAAAGAGAGAGAACTCAACCTTTTATTTTTTTGGTTTGTCTGATAGAGCGATAATATGAGAAATACCATTTGCCTTCTAGTTTTTTGTTTTGATTATTATACTTCTATATGATTTTTAAAATTTTCTTGAAAAATTTTATTGCATGTAAAGTTTTATAAATGAAGAATGTACATTATAAATAAATGACCTGATTTTCCACTCTGCTTTCAAAAGGCTAGCTTTTCATATTCTCATCAAGCATTTTTGAAAAAGTCTCATTGCTTCTTCCTCTATTTCACATCTCTAGTACTCCTGAGCTCACAGTCAGATAAACAAAGAGAATCCCTATGGATTCTCTAGCAGTACTATACAGGTCTAGCAACACATATTGCTGTCCCCATTTAAGGCTCTGAGAGTATATGGGGCAGCTTGAGAAAGCACCTTTGACATTCTCTTCTATGCCCAGGATTCTTCTGTGTATGTATACTTGGAACTGGTGACTTCTGCATTATTATGTGAAAGGATTGACTCTGTGCATATAAGAAGAGGATAATCTTTATTTTCTGTGTAGATTTGCCAAGACCGTATTTGTGAAAATGATCCCTTTGCACTATCAAGATTCATGCCTGTAGATCTGGCCAACAAGCTAAACTAAAGTTATTTGTATTAGTTTCAAAAGACATTAACCAAATTAACCAAATCTATTAACCAAAATAAAATGCCCTTCATTCTGTGATTTTATAATTCTACAGAAAGGAAAGAAAGATCTCTTCTTCTGCATCCAATACAATTGATAGAAGTCTGGAACTGTAATTACTGTTGATAATATGCTGATTCCATTGGCTAATATTTTTTAGAAAGTCTGTTGACCAAAACGTTATAGAAAACATGTACAAACCTATTTTTTGTCTGGTGTCTTTTCCCTAATTATTTCTCTTCTTAATTTTAGATGACTTGAGAACCTTGTGTTCCAGGCTGCCCCATAACAAGTAAGTTTCCATTTAACATTTTAAGCAGCGTGTTTTTTTGTCTGAATTGGGACTTGGCCTTTGTTATGGATGTGGTGTTTGATTTTAAATTAGATCCCTTCTCATGTCGAATTCTAATTAGCCTTTTCATATTCTCAAGCATTTTTGAGAATGTGATTCTTACTGACCTTTTCAGTCAACAAACATTGTACCTCACAGTACACTATTCAGCTTCTGGTCACTCAGATTTGCTGAATTGAAAATTTGGTTGCCCGTGCTAAAAGGGTAGATTAGGTCCTGGCAGATTAATTTAAGATGATGAAACTAATGTGAGATAGATTATTGGTACAAATATAACTTATTAATTTACAGTGAGAGCTATAGTTGCTGGAGGGAACATATTTTTAAATCCTGGTCATTTTACTTTTTCTGCACTAGCTGATACCTGTCAAGGCCAAAAAAATGCCTTAATGCAAATTCTAGTTGCCAAAGACCAAATGATAATGCCACCCAGTGTATTTGTCTGTAGATCAAGTTATAGTCAAATGATCCCTTGACAGTTATGAAGTCAGAGAACTTGGAACAACATAGTTATGTGGGTTATTTTAACAAGATTAAATTAGAACCAAGGGGAAAAAAGTCACCTGTTCCCTCTCCCAAGATGTTACAGATCAAGTAGGTTGTTTCTGTGTCAGTCAGTAAGATTAGGTGATGGTTCTGAAAAATTCATTTTTTAGATTCTGTGCTAAGTCCCCACATTGTCCAATTACTTTGTTACATGTCTGATTGCAACATTTTCTTTTCACATTACAGTAGCTCTCTTGCTTTTTCCTCTATGTTCACAACTTTTGTCTGATATTTTCGGATCATTTAATTATAGGCCATAATTTTTACTTTATTCCATTATTCTTTTTGTGCTTTTTAACATCATAATCATTTCCCAACATTCTCTCCTCTGTCTTGTAACTACTGTAATTAAGTAAAACTGTCTTGATGCAGTCGAATAGGGTATGCTGCATTCCACAGCTGTGGTTGCCCCACCTGTCTACCTAGAGGCAGGAGGAATATTATGTCATCTCTTCCCTAGAGCCAAGATTTCTCATTGCAGTTCATCTGAGTTACTTTGCCTTCACCTATGTTATTATAGTTACTATGCCTGTTCTTTGTTAAATATTATATGGCTTGATTATATTTTTGATCATTCATCATCATTTATTTATGCTTTCTCATGTTTCTCTGAGTTTTTCACATTCATAATAATTTCTTATGGAACAGTACATCTCCCATTTGCCACAATTTGATCGGGTATTCTCAATCAAAGGACACCTACTTTTTTTCTTTTTTTTTTTTGCTACTGTGGGCTGCTGCTGTGAATATTTTGTTATGTATGGTATCTTTCTTTCTGACATTGACTTCCTTGGGGACTTTAGCCCCTACTGAGATCATATGGTCACAGGTTACAAAAACTTAATTACTTTTGTAGCATAGTTTTAAATTGTTTTTCAGAATGATGACACTAATTCACAGCTTCGCCAATAGCATATTAGTGTCTTCCCACGGCTCCTCCAGTATTGACTGTTTATGTTTTTTTAATCATCTTTGCCAATTTGATTGGCATGAGTAAAAACCTCAAAGTTGTTTTTAATTTGTAATTACAGTATTACTCAGTTGGAGAATTTTTGTCATACAATTGTTGATCATTTGCATTTCTTCTTCTGAAAACTGTTTGTTAATAGCCTTTGACCACTTATCTGTTCAGGAATATAGGTTGTAAATTCTTGCATCAAATAGAGGAGGAGGAGGAGGAAGATGGAGTATGCTGGTGTCCATATTTTGCATGCGAAGAATATTTTTAAAAAATTTCTATTAGGGACCACGTAGTTTTTTACTAACATGAAATAGTTATAGAATAATTATTTGTCTTCCCAATTAGATGCTAAGCTTCTTGAATTTAGGGACCATATGTTATAGAGGACATCCTTCTAATTTCTAATATTAGGATTTGTATTTTCAGTATTTGGAGCTGCTGAGCCAAAAGGCTACAGGCATAGCTCAGTTTTCTCTTTATAACTCAATTTCTTTGAATATTTGTTATTTGATTGCGTTTCTTGTCTAGTTATAAATGAAGGCAATGGAATTACAGTGGGAAAGGGTCCTTAACATTATCTGAATGTGCACAATGCATCTCGCCTTTAACGTGCTTATTACCATTCAGTTCACTTCAGCAAGTATTTGGAAGGGACTTCAGCAGCCATCTAGTCTATCCCCATCAGCACCAGATAGGTTTTGGAGGTCTCTCCAAGAAAGTCCTTCCAAGAGCTTACACTTTAGTTGTATGGGAAGGACATGGCTAAATAGCAATATAACATAATACATAACTGTGACAGAATGAGAGCTGTAAAATTAAAGGGTTTAGAGCAGGAAGAGACCTTGGAGATCTAATTCAGCCGCTTCATTTTTAGCAGGTACTGTTTGGTGGTTCCGTTTTACGTCATTAGAAATTTTTTTATGTTCTAAGCCTATGTTGTGGTGCTAGAATTTTTAATAGTTCACTGAAACCTTGCTTATTTGGCACCTAGTTAGTCACCTGGCATCTCTGATAACGTGGATATCAACAGAGAAGCTGGGGAGAGTTGGCTCACTACAGAGCCTAAGTCATAAAGTATAACAAAGATGTGATGTGATGAGTCAGGTCACCGACCGGAAGAAAGGAGAAGGCTCGTTAACTGAAGGTTATGAAAGCCAAGCCCTTAGGGGCTTTAAACAGTAGGGAAGCTGAGGGGAAAGAAGAAAGATGGAGAGGGTTGGATAGTGCCAGAGCTGTAACCACAGGGAGAGGATCAGAGAGGCTGAGGAGGGAGGAGTGGGGGTGGGGGAGGAAGATACAGCAGGGTAGCTGTGAGGAGGGAGCTTTAGCACCAGGCTGAGACCCTGCTTACAAGCTCAGGCACACTCTCCATAGCCTGAATTGTGGTGTTGACACAGTAGATGACAGCTGAGTAGATGGAATTTGCTGCACTACATAGTAAAAGATACCATGGAGAAGCATAAGAAAGGCTGTTGCTGAAAGAGAAAATGAGCTCTGTGTGATTTGAGAAGTGCAAGAAAAGAAAAATTTTGTGACAGTAGGTTGTTCATATTAGACATCAAAGCTCAGGATAAATGTTCAAAAGATTTGCGGTTTTCATTCTGGCTAGAGCACCTAGATCATGTTTTCTTAAAGTGTTTCAAGATCAGAGAGCACTCCTGTCTGGCAAATCCTTCTCCCTTTTTCTCTCCACTCTTCTCCTATCCTTAGAAAAATGGGTGCCCTCTGGTCTTTTCACCAAGAAACATTCAGAGAAAACATTATTTAGGTGCTCTGGCCATATGAAGGTTATGACCTTCGGTAAATAATGTGAACACTTGTTTTTGTCTAATGTGAACAATATACACACACACACACACACACACACACACACACATACACAGATAATTCTTGAGCTAAGGATGGAGACTGAACTGGAACTAAAGTTAGGTAAGAAGAGGTAGAGGCGGATTATATATAGGAAATTGTGTAGGTTTTCTAGTAATCTCAAACTGTTCAGTTACACAAAAGCCCATAATTTTTATTGGTACCTTTTTTTCTATTATTTTCATTTCTGAATATATCCTCCCCCCAAAAAATTAATCAGTGAAAAAATATTTCTGAAGTTCCTACAATGTGCCAGGCACTGGGAATACAGATACAAAGAATGAAACAATCCCTATTTGCAACGAGCTTACATTCTTTTGGGCGAGATAATTTGTACAAGAATGCAGCATAAATATAGTTAATGAATATAGCTATATACAAAATAGTTAAACATTGGATAGTTTGGGAGGGAAGGCACCAGCAGTTGGGGAGATCAGAAAGGCATCATGAAGAAAATGGTGTCTCCGCTGCATCTTTAAGAGGGCAACTCTGAGGTAAGGAGGCAGTGGATTCTAGGGATGAGGTAATGCCATTGCAGAAGCAGAGGGATGGCAGATGGGATCATTGCATGAGGAACAGAGGGAAAGCTCGTTTGGCTGGATCACAAATTATAGCAGAGGAAATAATATCTACTAAGACTGGAAAGATAGATTGCGGCCAAATTGTATAGGGCTTTAAGGAAGGGAAGAAGCATTTGTTAAGCACCTGCTATATTACAGGCACTGTGCTAAGTGTTTTACAACTGTTAACTCGTTTTTTGGTTCTCAAAATAACCTTGGGAAGTAAGTGCTATTATCTCTGTTTTACAGTTGAGAAAACAGATAAAGAGAAGTTAAGTGACTTGCCCAGGGTCACACAGTTATTAAGTGTCTGAAGCCAGATTTTAACTTTTGTAGAAGGTGGGAGGGATGGGATCAAATGCATCCACAGAAGGGATTGGCCTTGGCAAGGAGAAAGGCTACCTCTTTGTCAGAGGCTTGGGGAAAGGAGGAAAGAATAGGAGATGATGTCAAGAGGTTTTGAGCTGAAGAGGACAGAAGAAGGAGCTCACATGTAATGGCCTCAGGTCCCGTCCCTCCCTGAGTAAAATGAACCAACTTTCTTTAACTCTTCTCTGGGCTGGCTTGGTTAGCATGACTAATTGCATCGTTTGTCTTTTTGCATTGTTGTCATCATTGTGTACATTGTTTTCCTGCTTACTTCACTTTGCATCAATTTATATGTCTTCCCTTGAAAAGCATCTTTTTAAAACCAGTATTTGCCCCTTAATGCTGTATAATTGTAGAAGTTCTCAGAAGAATTAGATTCATGGGCAACTTAAAGGGTCAAATCCAACTATGAGGAGGCTGAAGCATATTGTTAGTGATTGTCACGCATGTGAGAAGTAGCCTGAAAGGCATCGAGGAGATTGAGGACTCTGAGAAAAGGAATTGTCCATTTTTGTCAGGAGAGATAATAAATGAACAATTCCAGTGCTGCCTTGGTATCCCAAAGACACTAACAGAGTCTGAAGGCCTGCAGCATGTTAATTGTATTCTCTTTGGAATTTTTGGAAAGATTTGGCAGAGACTCGCAGTAGATGAGAAGGTATTGGGGGAAGTGGGAAAGGGTTTGCAGTCTGTGCTAATGAAGGGACTGCCCGCACACCATAGATTCATCTAAATACCTCGACAGACAAAGAGGCTGAGGCTAAGTTACACAGATGGTGGGAGTTGGGACTCCTGATTTTAGCTAATATCTCTTACTCTGTTCCACATTGTAGACATAAATGAAAATGTTTTTTCTTATTCTCTCTTATTTTTATACTTGAAATTAATGTTAGATGAGGAAATGATCATGAAGACCGAGTCCATTGTCTTTAGAGAATCTCAGAACATTTTCCCATTCCTCAGACTCGCATTTCTCTGCCCATCAAGCTCAGAGGAAGAGTCTGGGTACAATAAGCACTTCTTTTCCGTCTTCCTTCAGAATAAATTGCACAGGCACTTAACAAAGAGTTAGGGTTAATATTGAAATCAAATTAACCTTATAAAAATCAAGTTGAGGCACATTTAATGTTTTGAATGGTTATGTGCTAATTAGGCATATTACTCATTTATTTTTACTTGCATGCACCTGAACTAAATATTTCTTTGGGAAGTGTTGACTTGAGAAGGAAGAAGGCAAAGGGTCAGCTTCTGGCACTTGATAGCTAGCAGTTGTCAGCTGTTCCCCATTCCTGACCCCCTGCCACCAGATCTGTTCTTACAGGATGGAGCAACCCCAGCTTTTGGAGTCAGCCCTGTTCAGATGCTTGAGAAAAGGGTAAGGATTCTAGACAAAGAAACCTATCAGCTGGAGCATGTCCAAACAGTTGAGTTTTGATGTCCCTTGCATAAAAGTATCAAAACTTCTGTGTATATAACAGAACATCATCATAAAATTGATTATATGGGTAGCCTGGCAGATCATCTAACCTTTTGGGGCCTGTGTCTTCATCTTAAAGTGAGGGAGTTGGACTGAATGTTCCTAACAAGCTCTAAAATCCTGTGATTCTCTTCATGTTTGGAAAGAGAGAACTAGATCATAATTAAAATGAGTTCTGATGATTTCCTTAGGTGTAGTCAAATTGCTTTTCTAACAAATAGAGTTTTGGAACATGGGGATATTCGAGGAAAGAGGCGTGAATGAGTCGCTTTTGTGGGAGGCTTTGAATAGTCAAAAATAAAGCTGGAAGGTATGATCCTCAAAAGGCAGGGAAGAAACCAGGAAAGAGAGTTGGAAAGGCACCAAAAAGACTTGCCTAGTTTACAGTTTTGCACAGGGCTGCTCTTTCCTTCCTAATGGCTAAGGATGTTGTCATTTTTACTCGTCAGGTAGCGGTCTCCTTTTGCTCCCTTGTTCTTCTTAAAGTAGTGAAGCTACTTCACTGATGAGCTAGCTCCATTGTGACTTAAAAGTAGGGACAAGCTGTATGCTAGCACAGAAGCTTTGCACGGGGGCATTTTATGGTTCAACCTGCCTTGTTTATGCACAACTATGTCCAGAGCTTTAAGCTTGCCAGAGGATAGAAAAGATCTTGCTAGACAATTAGAGTATAATCCTAGGAAACATCAGGTAGCATCAGGTAATAGTGACTATCTTCTCACCTCTCTTATTTCATTGATTCAGTATATGGAGGACTAATGTGTTAAATCAGAAAAGAATACGTCAAAAGGGATTTCATGAGAAAATTGATCCATAGTGTAGGTACTATATAGTACTTTAACTTTCTTATTTTCAGTATTATAATGAAATTGAATGTTCTATGTAACTGGAATTCTGTTATAATTAAGGACATGGAAAAAATTGTAGACTAGTGTCATTTTTTCAGGAATATCTAATACATATAATGGTAAAGAATTTGCTAAATACAAGAGTTGAAGCTTACAAGGAGGCTAAAGATTAAAAGTTATTGGCACTGCTAAAGAATTTTCAGGCTATTATATAATTGAGGTTGATGAAAATTCCTTAGGAGAAAGCCGCTTAAAATTTTATATCATTAATTAATTTTTGAGAAAGGCAGCCACATTACTACTACCCATGAAGTCGTGCAATTTTTATTCTTCATGCAATCTCTAATAACAAATACATAAATGACCCTATGGAAAAGTTGCTCTAATCAAGAAAACACCTTCTAGGACATGGTATTGGATTAGTACAGAATAGTTCAATATTCCTTTATAACTTTGGCATAGCATGATAATTGTACATTCTGATTACATTAAGTCATCTATAAATGGTTAATGTGCTATTTATAGGGAAATGTATAATACATTTTAGAAACATTTGTGTTAAAGACGGGTTGAAATAAACCAAAGTGCACTTAAAAGAGTACTTTGATAATTTAGTGGATTTGTGGTCTTGGAGATATTAGTACTTCTTCCAAGAGTGTCAATCCTAACCAGTTCGTACCTGCCCAGAGTACTCACTCCAGTGATACAGATCATTGCCCATCCTTTTCAAGTCTTGTCCATTTCTTCTGCAAATCCTTCACAGGGGGCTTATCCAACTTTAAGGCAGACCCTTCACTCCATCTTCTTCAGCTCTTGACCTTGTGTATCATATTAACGAATCATGCTGGGTGGTCCATCAGTTCCTATGCACTCATTACCTGACCAGTCCATCTTTCTTTTTTTTTAAATTATTCTTTTTCCTCATGATATTCTTCATACCACTTCTCCTACATACTTCTTTGGCAATGTGTTGCAGCCTGCTTGTACCCGTTATGAACATCTTTATTGTGCTTTGGTTGACCTTCAGTTTAAATTCTTCAGAGACTGGTGTTCTGTAGCTTAGAGCTTAGAGCTAGTCCCAGGACAATGGGGATTTTTTTTTTCCAAGGAGAAGCTTGTGACCTTAAAAAAGCACTGTATATCTTTTTTTTTCCTTCTGTTTTGTTTCCTCTTTCTTGTGGTTCTTTCTGTTGGTTCTACTTCTTCCTTACAACATGACTAATGTGAGAATATGTTTAATGGGAATGTTTATGTATAGCCTGTGCCATCTTGGGGAGGGAGGGGGAGAAAAATTTAAAACTCAAAAGCTTATAGAAGTGATTGTTGATAAATCAAAATAAATTAATAAAAAAAAGCACTGCATAACTCATGAAACCAACCTAAAATTCTAACCTTCAGTTATCCAGAAAATGATCTTTTCTTGACCATTCCAAATTGCCAGATAGCTAAGGTGTTATTGAACCTATAATTGAATGGTTTTACCATTAGCTATTCTCAGAGAACATGAGAACAGTTTAGTGTTTGAGTCACCATAGAGGTGTAGGACACAGCAGAGCTATATCATTCATTCTTCATCTACGGAGTATTTATTTAGTAAGCACCCACCATGCATTGGGTGAACTGAAAATATATATAGATACATGACCTCTTGTCTTCAAAGAAGTTACAGACTCCCAGGGATAAGAACACATGTACTCAGGTAAATATCGTTCAAATAAGTACATTAGTGCTATGAAATAATTTAAAGGAGAGATTTATAGTTGGGAGGTCTTAGGCAGGGTTTCACAGAGAAAGTGGCCTTTAGGTCGGCCCTGAAAGATGTATAGAATGTCAGCAGGAAAGATTGGGAAAGTAGAAAAAGTCTTATGGACTCCCGCAAGTATCATTCACAGTAGACTTAATGTGAGGTGAGTAAAACAGTCTTAGGGTAATTATGAAGTTGCATTCTCTGGCTCTCACATGTTCCTGGTTGTTTTACAGTGTTTCCAATATCTAAAACTTTGTGAAGTGTGAAAATTCTCAACTAACCGTCTATATCCCTTTGATTTTAAAGGAATATATGTTATCAACCACACCCTGTCTCTTCTCCATCTTCTTAAACAGTATGGAATTAGCAAATTAATATTTCTGTTTTCCTTTTCAGCCTGCTTCAGCTCGTGATCTCAGGTCCAGTGCAGCAGTCAACCCACACTGCATTGCCACCAGGATTTTATCCTCATATTCATACTCCTCCACTGGGTTATCCTGCACATGCTGCGCACCCCGCCATCCCTGCACACCCAGCTCACCCTGCACTCCCAGCCCATCCTGTACAGACATTTATACCAGGCATGACTTTTCCATACAGGCCTATCCGTTAAGTGACCTGTAACTTCAGATCCATTTTCTCTTACCTTGGTGGATTTGAGAGAAAGCCTTACAGAGAAGAGGATTACTGCTTCGTCTATTTTAAAAAAAGACCTTTTAGAAAAAAAAAATTCTCTTCATCTCCAGCAGAACTATACAGATCTATAAGATTTGGTATTCTTCCAAGGTAGGAGTAGAATGGGCACTAGGAAGAAACAGATGGTTCACCATATTAGCCATAAACTTGGACACATTCTTTAAAATCCAGACTGAATGGATGAAGGGAAAAAATTACGGCCCCTCTGCAGAGTGATTTATCAGTTTTTGTTTCTTTTCTTTTCTTTTTAGTTTACAAGTCCTATGAGCCTGTTGTTCATGAACAGCACCATTGTATTCACTTGTCAGTGTGTAATTTCAGTGACACACAGCTGTCTGAGTCTATAATGAAAAGTGATTGGTTTTTTTCTTTATTGAGCCTTCTCAGAAATGAGAAGCCCAGAAAAGAAATCTAGTCTAAGATGCAGGATTTGAAAATTCATTTCTCCAGCTGCTCTCCTTTTCTTGTAAATGTTTGTAATGAGGTCCTCTACAAGATACAGTGTCTATTTTTGCAACTATATAGAATCCAGAGATTGATGTGTTGTGATTGCAAGGCACACATGGCACTTTCCACTGTTAACGGAAACCTGTAAAGATAAAGATTGCCCCTACAGTCTAGGAAAGAGACATCCTTTTGTTTTCTCTAGGTCTCTGAAATTTCCTTTTATCTGTTCAAATAAATTTTTTTTTAAAAAAAGAAACATTGTAGACTTTATGTTAGTATACTATAAAAAGCCAATTTAATTTGGTCCCGAATTAGATTTCTGCTTCCATGATTGATCATTATAGTAAGGAAACTAAATACAACTTTTAATTCATCACTGACAGCACACTAATATCTTGCTTTGTCAGTGAGAGTATGATTTTCTGCTTTGGGTTTGCTATAAAGGTACAGTATTTACAATATAACCTTTCATTAACAAAAAAGGTCCATTGAATTAGGGGGTTTTTCCTAGTATATTAGTAGAAGTTCTCTAGTGCTACTTTTAGGAGGAGTAAGAAAATGTGGATACCAACCAGTTAACCTGTTATGATTGCAGAAGTAAACAAAATTCAGGAGGAAATGAGAAAGCAGCAAAGGATGACTGCAATTTCATCCTATGGAAATTAGGGGACAGATTGCTGAAGTTTAATTCTATGTATGACATAGCTACTTATGGTTTCCTAGTCAAAGAAGATTAGTTAATTTTTAGAGGACCAGACCAGACCACTTACTGCATTCCTATGTATTTTTTTATTCTAAAGACCAAAATTCCAAACATCCTACAAGAGTAAAATGTAAGCTATTCAAAATGCAAAGCAAGTCCCGTATATTTCATTTATATTGACTAACATACCTTCTTTTAGATGTTTCCTTAAACTTGGAAAGAAGTGGTGCTAGCCTTGCGATGTAACTTTTTTCTTTTAGCAGTTCAGCTTTGAATCATCTCTGGAAACTATTTTTCCAATATCATTCAGTGACTTTAAAAAGTGTTTTGTTGTCTTTCAGAGCAACAAAACCATGATCTTTCTATTTTTTTCAGTAGTTTTTGAAAACTGTTTATTGTGTGGGAAATCTGTTTTCCCAATTTCCCATTTTAATACCTGAAGAAAATAACAGTTCTTCTCTGGTTTGATTTCATTATGATTATTGGTTGAATCTGATTCCTTTTAAATCAGAATCATAAATTGTTTATATAAATATGAGGTACTGTTTTTTTCAGGGTTTGGATAGGTATGCATGCCTCCATCTCTTGCTGAATGAGCTTCAGAATGTATGTAGAACTGAACAAGATCAAAATGATGTTTTTTCCATAAAATGGAAGTATGGTGCCAGCTGCTTGTGAAAAGCACCAAAAGACATCTATATTATGCTACTTTTGCTTAGAAGGAATTGTTCCTAAGTAAGATATGACACTTCCCTTTCCATTTACAGTACTGTCGAAAGGCTGTTAAGTGCTTCTCTAACACATCTTTCCTGGCTCCAGAATCCAGTATGAATGACCACATTACTTGGTACTTTGCAAGAGCCAGGGGGAAAATTTGTCTGAAATGAAGGGAAAATGATGTTTCACTTTGGCAGTCAAATGCAGGGAAAATGTAGGGAGAATGAAGCAGATCCTTTGTGTGCCGCCTTTGTAGTGATGAATTGCTTAATACTTTAATAATGTAGTAATTTGTCAGTGCAAAGGTGTGACATGGGGCCATTACTGAGCCTATAATAGTTACTCAGAAGCTCATTTAACTTGAGGAACCTACATTTGTTAACATTCTTTAAAGCAGGTACCTTAAAGAATCATCACCATTTTCTGGGTGGCATTAGGTTAGGACTTAGATAAGGGATACAGTGACTTCTTTCAGTGACTGGGGATACTAAATCGAGTAGCTGGGATGGATTAGCTGAGTGGGCTCAGGATAGTACCTCTTAAAACTTGGATTCACAGAATCCTAGACCAAAACTTGGAAGGGACCTTAGAGGTTGTCTAGTACAACCTCCAGCCTCTGGACAAATCCCATTTATAACACCCTATCAGTCAATCAACCTTTCTTCTAATACTAACCATAGTAAAGAACTTGCTGCCTCATAAGCCAGCCCTCCATTTTTGAAAGAGCTATAATTGTTAGAAAGTCCTTATTTTGAATCAGAAGTTGCTTTTTTCTTTTTTAAACATTCTGCTTTTGGTCCTACTTCTGTTTACCAGAGCTATCCAGAACTAATTTAGTCATTCTTGTATGTGACAGCCTTTGAAATATTTGAAGACCACTATCCTTCACTAATTCTCTTTTCCTAGCTACTAAGAGCCTTAAAAGTAACCCCTGTTTATTGTTGAGGGGTCTTAAAACATCTCTTGTTTCCACCAAATTAGTTGTGTACCCTGGCTGGCACCCACACCATTTCTACCAAGGAGCTCAGCTTCCAATTCTCCTGGAGCATAATGGGATTATGGGACTAAACTAAAACCAAATGTTATAAGTGGTTAAGAGTGATGGTGAAAGGCTGAGAGTTTGTCTTGAGTTACAGATTTTAACTTCACTGTTGGAACATGTTATACCATCGTTCACTTAGTTTGATGACTGTCATACTCTATTCCAAAGTCAGTGACCTTTTTATATTAAACTCAGGGCTGTTGTGTTTTATGGGGGAATATTGAGTAAGAATTGTTGAGTGTGAATATTAAGGGAAGATAATATTCCTTTATGCAAGAATTTGCACTTTTGACTTTGAGAAGTTTCTAAATCATGCAAGTGCTAATCCAAAGTTATTTAGATTGATTGGCAACAGTACATGATTATTTGAAGAATTTCCAGTCAAGAGGTTAGAACTATTGGCAATAGTTCAGTATTTTGGATGTTAAGTGCAAACATAGACTACTGATTGCATAAAGTTTCTGCCTTTATAAACATCTATGTAAAAAACAAGTGTCATGGTTCATGTATAACCTCTAAAAATATTGATTGTGTGCAAAAGGGGAAAGAAAGGCCCACACAATTTTAGAGAACTGAGCAGCTAGGGGGAGGGCAAAAAGTGGGAGAGTAGTAATTAGACAAAAAATGGGTTGAAGGGGAAGAAAGAAAATGGGTATCTTCAGTGTAACATTGACAGACCAGTGGATAATGCTTGGCTAAAATTATAAGGTCTGGGAAGAAGGGGCTTGCAGAAGATCAAGTGGAAGTCAGCAGTGCCATGATCCATTCCTGCTAACCCTTGTGTGGCAGTCCCATACAGACTAGCTCTGGGCTTTAGCTTTCCAAACTTCAGGGTACTGAAAAAAAAATCACTTTTAAGCTATTCCACAAATTAGACATCTCTTACTTCACCAGCCTCTACAACTGAGAGTTTTTCTTTTAAGTTTGTGTGATCCTGTCTCCATCCTAAATCTCTTTCCTAGTAAACGTTCATTCTCATATTCTGATAATTAATGACTGTTAAGTGCGTACTAATCCAATAATTGCCATAATGAAATATGGTCAGTTTAGGCTTCACTCTTGAGTGCAACACAGTCATGAAAATTTGAACATTTATTCTATATACAAGGAAGAGTTTTAGATGTAGGGGTTTACAAAACATAAAATGTATATGTTCCATGTCCTCAAGGGGCTAAAAGCTAGTTACAAAGGACATACACACATGAAAAGGTTATTAGCAGTATAATAATTGTGTGGAGGTGACGGGTAGGTGATGCCTTCAAGCTTACGGTTCAGTAGGGTGATGAGATGCACAGCAAAACTGTGCCGCACGTTAGAATTCTTTAAATGTAGGAGAGGTTTAAGGAAGTGGGCGGAAAGATCAGGAAGGAGGGATCACTTGTAGCTCAGGGTATTGGAGAATATGATAGAGGAGGTAGCATCTGAGGTAGGAAGGAAAATAAGGATTTTGAAAGGTGGGGATGTGGAGGTGTGGATGCAGTCCCTTTCCAGATGGAATAGTAAATGCTAGGGTACAGCAAAGGGTAGGATGGGATTGGGAAATGATGTAATTTACTTAAGTTAGAATGAGTGAGAGTGTAGGGGGGATAGTAGGAAATAGGTACTTAGTACCTAGACAGGTAGTTTGGGGGTCAGATTGTGGAGGGCCTTGAATGTCAGAGTAAAGAGTTTTTACTTTATGTTCTATGTAATTAGGGTACTTTGGCAGCAGTATTAAGGCTATATTGGAAGCAAGAAGATAAATGAGGCATTCCAGGACATTGGGTGAGAGGAAATGAGTATCTAAACCAGGGGTTCTTAACCTTTCTGTCATAGACCCCTTTGGCAGTCTGGTAAAGCCTATGGACCCCCTCTCAGAATAATGTTTTTAAACTTAAGCATGTAGAATTACAAAAGAAACCAAAGGTTAGTGAGAAGTATAATTTCTTTTCCTATCCAAGTTCTTGAATTCTCTGATATATGTGGACTCCATAGTAAGAGCCCCTCACCTAAACAAACATGATTGCATTGAGAATGAAAGGGGGACAGATGAAGGAACCGTAGACATAGAATTGCCAGAACTTGACAACTGTGAGTTTGCATGGAGGATGAGGGAAGAGTCAAAGGAGATTTACAGGTTTCAGTCACAGGTGCCTAGGAGTATTGTAGAAGATAAATAAAAGTAGGAAATTAGGAGGGGATGGTTGGGAGCAGGGGAGAATTGTCTCCTTTGAACTGGTGGAGGGTATCCAGCAAGCAGTTATAAAATGCAGACCTGAACCTCATGAAAATTCTGCCAGAGCCTGTGTATTTGGTCGTCTGTATCAGGTGATCCTTGACATCGTGGACCAAGAAATTTAAGATATGTGTTAAGGGACCTCCAAGACATTTGATTTGACTTGGCGGTGTTCCTTGGGAAACCAGGCTGCCACCCCAGGGAGGTGGAGTGTGCTTTAGGACTTGGAATGTGGGAATGGATGAGATTATCCAGATAACAGATGTAGAGAGAGAAGAAAAGATGGGAAGTTGTGAAAGTGAATGACAGTAAAGGTAGGTGGATTTGGAACTAGTTGAATGGTGTCATTACTGGTTTGATGTCAACTTGGGGACAAAAGAGTTCTAAATGAGTGCCCTAGGGATCTATGCTTCAGAGTATCTTGGATAAAGGCATAAATGGCATATCTCAAATCTGCAGATGACACAAAGCAGAGAAAGACAGCTAATACAGTGGGTGATGGAATTCATTAAATAAAAAGATCTTGCAGTCTAGAACATCAAGCTGAGATTGTGTAGTAAATGTACATAGTAGTGGACTTGAGTCCAGAGGACCAGGGTGCAGCTCCCACCTTTGCCATTTACTACTTATGTAACCTTTCACCTTTCTGGGCCTCAGTTTCCTCATCTGTAAATTGAGGGGTTTGGATTAGATTGCTTGCCTCTAAAGTCCCTTTCAGCTATAAAACTGTGACCCTATGAAGGTAACATATAATAAGAATAGATACATCTTTGACTTAAGTTTTGAAGAATCATTCTAACAAGTACAACATGGAGTTGATGTGTAGCTGGACAACAGTTCACATAGAAAGGGCTGGCAGTTTTAGTGATTCCAAGCTGAGTGAGCCCCACACTGCTACATGGCAGCCATAAAAATTAGTGCCAAGTTAGCTTTCATTAAAAGAATAACAGTGTCCAGAAGTAGGCATACGATGGTCAGAGCATGTCTAGAATAGTGTGCTTTAGGTGCCACGTTTGAGGAAGGACATTGTCCAGAGTAGGTGAACCAAGAGCCAAGTTGTATGTAATTCTCAGTTCTTGATTTCCATAAATTCACATTATGCAAATTCAACTTTATGTAAAGAGTTCTGAAAGCAATCCACGTTACCTAAAAACCTCCTATGCTAACTTTATTGTACAGTAGTACTGTGCTCTCTCTGCTGCTGGCCCTCTGCTCATTGCTCTGCAGCTTCCAACCCACCTTGCGCACTCCCCCCCAAAAAAAACCCCCAAAACCTCCAAGTGAAAGCAGAAAAATGAGACCACCACTGTCAGATTAGAGGCTTGGCTTGAGACCTCCTGCACAAAGAAAGATCTTTGCCCACTTTGCCCACACACCTGCTCTCTTGCCCCCATGTGTCTGTCTTCGATCAGTCTGCACAGGTATCATGTATCTGTCCCTGGCACTGATGTGTCCTTGAACCATGAAGCAGCCTTCTTTCTTCTTCCCTCTCTTCCTTCCCTAGGTCTGTGGCAAGTTTGCATAAAAATCCCTTTACGTAGAGGTCTGCAGACTGGACCACTTAGGTAAATTGAGAACTGTCTATAACAAAGCTTACTGTGGTGAAGGGCCTCGAGTCTTTACCATATTCCATAATTTCAAATCAACAAGCATTATTATAAATGCTTACTGTGTGCAAGGCTCTACACTAGGTGCAGGGAACAGGAA